GACACCAACTATGTTATAGTCTCAGACACCAACTATGTTATAGTCTCAGACACCAACTATGTTATAGACTCAGACACCAACTATGTTATAGTCTCGGGACACCAACTATGTTATAGTCTCAGACACCAACTATGTTATAGTCTCAGACACCAACTATGTTATAGTCTCAGACACCACTATGTTATAGTCTCAGACACCAACTATGTTATAGTTTCAGACACCAACTATGTTATAGTCCTCAGACACCAACTATGTTATAGTCTCAGACACCAACTATGTTATAGTCTCAGACACCAACTATGTTATAGTCTCAGACACCAACTATGTTATAGTCTGAGACACCAACTATGTTATAGACTCAGACACCAACTATGTTATAGTCTGAGACACCAACTATGTTATAGTCTCAGACACCAACTATGTTATAGTCTCAGACACCAACTATGTTATAGTCTCAGACAACCAACTATGTTATAGACTCAGACACCAACTATGTTATAGTCTCAGACACCAACTATGTTATAGTCTCAGACACCAACTATGTTATAGTCTCAGACACCAACTATGTTATAGTCTCAGACACCAACTATGTTATAGTCTCAGACACCAACTATGTTATAGACTCAGACACCAACTATGGTGTTGTATTACCACCTTTGTTTAACTGCTTCCTCACGTTCACCCTGCATCTTACTCTCCCTTCCTCCCCTTCACGTTCACCCTGCATCTTACTCTCCCTTCCTCCCCTTCACGTTCACCCTGCATCTTACTCTACCTTCCTCCCCTTCACGTTCCCCCTTTGCATCTTACTCTCCCTTCCTCCCCTTCACGTTCACCCTGCATCTTACTCTCCCTTCCTCCCCTTCACGTTCACCCTGCATCTTACTCTCCCTTCCTCCCCTTCACGTTCACCCTGCATCTTACTCTCCTTCCTCCCCTTCACGTTCACCCTGCATCTTACTCTCCCTTCTCCCCTTCACGTTCACCCTGCATCTTACTCTCCCTTCCTCCCTTCACGTTCACCCTGCATCTTACTCTCCCTTCCTCCCCTTCACGTTCACCCTGCATCTTACTCTCCCTTCCTCCCCTTCACGTTCACCCTGCATATTACTCTCCCTTCCTCCCCTTCACGTTCACCCTGCATATTACTCTCCCTTCCTCCCCTTCACGTTCACCCTGCATCTTACTCTACCTTCCTCGCCTTCACGTTCACCCTGCATCTTACTCTCCCTTCCTCCCCTTCACGTTCACCCTGCATCTTACTCTCCCTTCCTCCCCTTCACGTTCACCCTGCATCTTACTCTCCCCTTCCTCCCCTTCACGTTCACCCTGCATCTTACTCTCCCTTCCTCCCCTTCACCGTTCACCCTGCATCTTACTCTCCCTTCCTCCCCTTCACGTTCACCCTGCATCTTACTCTCCCTTCCTCCCCTTCACGTTCACCCTGCATCTTACTCTCCCTTCCTCCCCTTCACGTTCACCCTGCATCTTACTCTCCCTTCCTCCCCTTCAAGTTCACCCTGCATCTTACTCTCCCTTCCTCTCTGGGAACTTCCCAAGATATTCATATTTCCTCGTCCTCTCCTCTATGTACAAAAATTCACTTGACTACCACAATATTATGCTCGTAGAAGAGCTCACCATCTTCACGCTGTTGTAGTGTTCACTGATGGTTCAGAACCTCTTGATGGTAAGATAAGATTTCGTTCGGATTTTTAACCCCGGAGGGTTAGCCACCCAGGATAACCCAAGAAAGTCAGTGCGTCATCGAGGACTGTCTAACTTATTTCCATTGGGGTCCTTAATCTTGTCCCCCAGGATGCGACCCACACCAGTCGACTAACACCCAGGTACCTATTTGCTGCTAGGTGAACAGGACAACAGGTGTAAGGAAACGTGTCAAATGTTTCCACCCGCCGGGAATCGAACCCGGGCCCTCCGTGTGTGAAGCGGGAGCTTTAGCCACCAGGCCACCGGGCCACCGGGTCTGGTATGTGCTGGCTTCCCTGAAAGATAAGGCAAGGTCTTATACTAGACTTAGCCGGTATTGTAATGTCGTAAATCTCACTTCTATGATACACATTACGTCGAAGTCCGCCTCTTGCTTCCTCCTCTTCCCCTCCTTCCTATCCTTTTCCAGTTATTTCCATCCTTCCTTATCCTTTTCCTTCCCATCTTACGACAGCTCTCGTCGTCTTCGATTCGATTCGATAGTAGTTCGGATTTCCGAAGTGTATTGCATGTAGCTAAAAAATTCGACTTCTCTCATCCCCTTGTCCTTGGTATGCCACTTTTATTACATAACATTCATAGTAAGCAAAAGGATTTTTTTTTACTGGGTTCCTGGTCACGTTGATGTTCATGGCAATGATAAAGCAGACTCAGTCGCTCGGTCAACTATTCTTGTCCTGACTTTCCACAGACGTATACTTATCTCGGACTATTTTTTCAATGATCTCTCAAGAGCCTTGTACCAGCTGGCAACAACACTGGTTCAAGCTGAACCACAACAAACTCTTTTCTATCAGACTACGTTTAAGATTCTGGCCATCTTCTGCCCACTGCTGCATTGTTCAGAAGAGTGCACTCTCAAGTTTGCGTGTCCGACTCACGGGACTCACAGATGCATCTCTCGGTGAGGACTGTTAGGCCATACTGTAAGTCCACCATGTCTTAATAGACTGTCCTGTCTAATAGTAGGCATACAGAATTCACAATTCGGACATATACACTGCTCCTAAATACTTGCTCATTACTCTACCTGACATCCTCCCTTAAAGTCCTGTCTTGGACTCATACTCTCTGCGACTTTGATTTTATTAACTTTAATATACGTTTTACTCTTGCACTAACCAGTACCTTCACTAACCACCACAATAACAATAATAATAATAATAACGACAACAACAACAACAACAACAACAACAACAACAACAACAGGCCTATATGGCAGATGTACCTGGAATCTTCATGTAAAAATTCTTCAGCGGAGAACTGATAAGAGACTTCTCTTCCTCCCTCCCTTCCTCACTCTCCCTCCCTCCCACACTCTCCCTTCCTCCCACACCATCCCTCCCATCCTTGCTCTTTCCCCTTGTTTTATAAAACCTTCAACAATAGCGTCATTATGCATTCCCAGTCTCATAATGACTCTACATTATTATCTACTAATGTATATATGTTGTTAGATATACGTATAATGATATCCAAATTTCTCTTCTACTCTCTCTCTCTCTCTCCCTCCCTCCCCCCTGTGTATAATTTCTCTTGATTTAGAAAGACATATTTATTTGAAAACGTTTCGGTCCTGGGGCCTTAACCTCTTCTAACATACAGAAGTTAAAAAAAAACAGTGTATATAGGCGGTTTCTATCACCAAGGTTTACATCAAAATATTCTCTTGTTCCAGCTCTGGGGTGACGGAGCTATCTCAAAAAAAAAAAAAATCCATATCTCCTGTGTATTAGATAGTCCACCTGACAGATGCTGTCAAGTGATAGTAACTGCAGCTCTGTTGGAAAGATAGTAACTGCAGCTCTGCTGGAAACATAGTAACTGCAACTCTGCTTGAAGGATAGTGACTGCAACTCTGCTTGAAGGATAGTGACCGCAGCTCTGCTGGAAGGATGGTAACTGCAGTTCTGCTGGAAGGATAGTAACTGCAGCTCTGCTGGAAGGATAGTAATTGCAGCTCTGCTGCAGTTACTGTCCTGAAGCTGGCGTAGCAGATGAACATTTAATGGAATACAGGCTGACACTGTTGAAGTCTCCCAGCCCAGGCTGACACTACTAAAGTCTCCGAGCCCAGGCTGACACTACTGAAATCTCCCAGCTTAGTCTGACACTACTGAAGTCTCCCAGCTTAGGCTGACACTACTGAAGTCTTCCAGCTCAGATTGGCACTGCTGAAGTCTCCCAATTCAGGTTGGTATTGCTGAAGTCTCCCAACTCAAGCTGACACTACTGGAGTCTCCCAGCTCAGACTGACGCACACGGTCTAACCCTGCATGACATACAATACAACATGACAGTTCTCTATCCTGGCACTTGTGGCTGACGTTTCTAGGCTGAGACTTATGGCTAACGTTTCTAGGCTGACACCTTTGGACAACGTTGTTTGGCTGACAACTCTGGTGTCAGGAGACTTTCTCACAATTTATAATTCCTGAGACTTAATAACCTATTTACTGCTGGGTAAACAGGGGCAGCAGGTGTAAGGGGACTAACATCTGGGTTCCTAATTACTGTTGGGTAAACAAGGGCAGCAGGTGCAAGGGGACTAACATCTGGGTTCCTAATTACTGTTGGGTAAACAAGGGCAGCAGGTGTAACGGGACTAACACCGAAAGATGTTAGTCCCTTACACCTGCATGGTATCATGAAATAGGAAGACGACACCAGTGGTGTGACAGGTCTGGTCCGAGACAGTGGTGTGATTGTCAGAGTTTCCCACCACCTGAAACAGTCAAAGAAAATGGGCAAGTTTCTGGTGACTCATAGAGAATGGTGAGCCATTCTCTGTAAACCACCACAAACTTACCCATTTTCTTCGACTTTCTGGTGGTGGGACACTCTGGCAAACACACCAATGGCTCGGACTACAACATAAATACATAGATAGATTTTGTTCAGATTTTTAACCCCGGAGGGTTAGCTACCCAGGATAACCCAAGAAAGGCAGTGCGTCATCGAGGGACTGTCTGCTTTATTTTCATTGGGGTCCTCAATCTTTGCCCCCAGGATGCGACCCACACCAGTCGACTAACACCCAGGTACCTACTTGCTAGGTGAACAAGACAACAGGTTTAAGGTAACGCGTCGAATGTTTCCACCTCGCCGGGAATCGTACTGGGACCCTCTGGGATCTGGATGAATGGAAAAAGTGCTGTGTACTTTGATACAGAGTGTGCAGGTTTGAGTCCGGCTGTAGACTGAGAAATAATATTTGTTAAAAAGCTTGCCCGTTTGTGAATTGTTAGCATGGTGACTTGTCAACTCACCATCAATGTCGATTTCGTCAAGCATGACCCTCAGTTCCTCCTCAGTGGCAAACTGACCCAAGTTCCTCATAAACTGACCCAGTTCTTGCTTAGTAATCGTTCCATCACCGTCCTTGTCGAAGAGTCGGAACGCCTCCCTCAGTTCTGTCAACAATAGAATAGCAGTTACCAACAGGATGATAGATAGTATGATTACTATTACATTTATGGGAAAGTGTAAGGCAGTAAGATGGCTGTTCACATCTCTGGGTGGCATTTAGTGGATCTAAGATTGAGCCTTGACCAGTCCCTGTCCTGGAAGACCTACCATCCCATTTCAGTCCATCCTGAACCATTATCAGGTTCACTTGCTACTTGATAATGGTTCATGATGAACCAAAACTCGGTCCAGTTTTTATTTAAAACTTGTGAGTTAGTTCTGAACTGTTCCAGTCACAGTATTTTGGATATTATTAATTTAAATCTACACATGACCATTCAGATATCTACTTCAACTTCCTACAATGACTGCACAAACACATAGAACGTAACCCAACTGTCCCATATGTTATTAACTTCACATAGTGAATCCTCGCAATACAAAGCAGTTTTCTGAAACATAATTAGTAAGTGAGGAACTAGACACATGCTACTGCATTCGTGTCTGTTGCAATCCTTTATTGACACCGTTTCGCCCATGAGGTGGACCTTTTACAAGTGACAGTGTTCTCAATAATGAATTGGACTTTACTTTCTGTCTTTTATACTATCATGTCGATACTTTATACCATTTCTGTTCATAAGACGTCTTATGAAAGTCTACTGTATTTAATTAAGATGAGTGGTTATTGTGAAGGCAAAGTTGTGTATAACTGTAGACTTTCTGAATGCACAACTGTCACTCATCTCTAGACAAACATTGTATCATGCTAAAATAAAATTATTATTATTATTATTATTATTATTATTAGTATTAGTATTAGTATTAGTATTAAAGTTACACATGATTATTCAACTAAGACTAAACCAAAGACACCAACTAAGATAATTTACCTCATTGCATATCTTTTATTTTCTATATGATCTAGACACATAGAGTTTATAATATATATCAATGGTATTTAGTACCAACAAGAGGATGAATTAGACACATGTTCAACATCTGGGTATCTTTATTTTGTGGATGTTTTGCCACCCAGTGGCTTTATCAGTACTCTGCCTGGATATGGTGTAAAGACTGTAGATATAAAGCTAAAGCTCCCGGTTCACACACGGAGGGCCCGGGTTCGATTCCCGGCGGGTGGAAACATTTCGACACGTTTCCTTACACCTGTTGTTGTCCTGTTCACCTAGCAGCAAATAGGTACCTGGGTGTTAGTCGACTGGTGTGGGTCGCATCCTGGGGGACAAGATTAAGGACCACAATGGAAATAAGTTAGACAGTCCTCGATGACGCACTGACTTTCTTGGGTTATCCTGGGTGGCTAACCCTCCGGGGTTAAAAATCCGAAAGAAATCTTATCTTATCTTATCTTAAGACAGTGGAAGACGAGGTTATCAGTCCCTCAGCCTAAGAACAGGTGATTCTTGTAGAATCTGAAGCATAGGCTGGTAGGTATAATATTTGTCAGGAAACAGGACAAGTGATTCCTGACGCGGGTATAAGTCATGTGATGACCCACTCTTAGTCATCTGACGGAGGCCTTCCTCTGGCTTACCGGTCCACGTCTCTAAAACTCATATTATACTATTAAGTATAACATAGTATGCACAGGCAGGAAGATTGGTGCTTATATACTGTCGTCAAGTGAGATGCAGGAGACGAAGATATTGCCACTGGTAGCTGATACCTGGAGATACCTGGAGAGGGTTCCGGGGGTCAACACCCCGCGGCCTGCTCCGTAACCAGGCCAGACCTCATGGTGGATCAGTGCCTGATAAACCAGGCTGTTACTGTTGGCCGCACGCAACCCGAAGTACGAACCATAGCCCGGCTGGTCAGGTACTGACTTTAGGTGCCTGTCCAGCGCTTTCTTGAAGACAGCCAGGAGTCTATTGGTAATCCCACTTATGTATGCTGGAAGGCAGTTGAACAGTCTTGGGCCCCCTGTGGTGATGTCCTCTGTAAAGCCAAAAGCTCCAGCTGCGGGTCATCATATGAGTGAGTCCAGCGTCAGGAAACACTTGTCCTGATTCCTGACAAACCTTACCTAACCTAACCTGACAAACCTTACCTAACCTAACCTGACAAACCTTACCTAAATCTGCTACATCGTGGAATCTTGGTTAACAAACAGGCCCTTTGGGATATAAATTGAATACTATACCACCTCAGTTGCCAAATTTAGATGAAAAAAAAAACTGAACACGAAAAACTGGGCTATAGACTTACAATCTTGGAGATTTTTTTGTGCAGGTTCTCAGTATTAGTTTAAATGATACATGTAATATAGTGCCAGTGAGCCAGGAGACAGGGCCTGCCTTCAGGCACTAATATAGTGACAGTAAGCCAGGAAACAGTGCCTGCCCTCAGGCACTAATATAGTGACAGTAAGCCAGGAGACAGTGCCTGCACTAAGGTACTAATATAGTGCCAGTGAGCCAGGAGACAGTGCCTGCACTAAGGTACTAATATAGTGCCAGTGAGCCAGGAGACAGTGCCTGCACTAAGGTACTAATATAGTGCCAGTGAGCCAGGAGACAGTGCCTGCACTAAGGTACTAATATAGTGCCAGTGAGCCAGGAGACAGTGCCTGCACTAAGGTACTAATATAGTGACAGTAAGCCAGGAGACAGTGCCTGCCCTCAGGCACTAATATAGTGCCAGTGAGCCAGGAGACAGTGCCTGCACTAAGGTACTAATATAGTGCCAGTGAGCCAGGAGACAGTGCCTGCCCTCAGGCACTAATGAAGGCTGATGACTCTTCCAGTGACCGCCATTACAGGGATTCCAACTGGTAATCTGATCATTTATCTTCTTAATTAATAAACTTCAGAAGAAGACGCGGGGAAAACATGTCGGAAGAAATTAAAATAAACGATGTTGATATTATAGAATTTTGTTGTGATTAAACTGTTGGTATTAAACGATATTGTTGGTATTAAACTACTGGTATTAAACTGTTGGTATTAAACGATATTGTTGGTATTAAACTACTGGTATTAAACTGTTGGTATTAAACGATATTGTTGGTATTAAACTACTGGTATTAAACTGTTGGTATTAAACGATATTGTTGGTATTAAACTACTGGTATTAAACTGTTGGTATTAAGCGATATTGTTGGTATTAAACTACTGGTATTAAACTGTTGGTATTAAACGATATTGTTGGTATTAAACTACTGGTATTAAACTGTTGGTATTAAGCGATATTGTTGGTATTAAACTACTGGTATTAAACTGTTGGTATTAAACGATATTGTTGGTATTAAACTACTGGTATTAAACTGTTGGTATTAAACGATATTGTTGGTATTAAACTACTGGTATTAAACTGTTGGTATTAAACGATATTGTTGGTATTAAACTACTGGTATTAAACTGTTGGTATTAAACGATATTGTTGGTATTAAACTACTGGTATTAAACTGTTGGTATTAAGCGATATTGTTGGTATTAAACTACTGTTATTAAACTGTTGGTATTAAACGATATTGTTGGTATTAAACTACTGGTATTAAACTGTTGGTATTAAACGATATTGTTGGTATTAAACTACTGGTATTAAACTGTTGGTATTAAACGATATTGTTGGTATTAAACTACTGGTATTAAACTGTTGGTATTAAACGATATTGTTGGTATTAAACTACTGGTATTAAACTGTTGGTATTAAGCGATATTGTTGGTATTAAACTACTGGTATTAAACTGTTGGTATTAAACGATATTGTTGGTATTAAACTACTGGTATTAAACTGTTGGTATTAAGCGATATTGGTGGCACTCAGTTACAGTGTTACCAGTACCAGTACACTTAGTACAGTGTTACCAGTACCAGTACACCTAGTACAGTGTTACCAGAACCAGTACACCTAGTACAGTGTTACCAGAACCAGTACACCTAGTACAGTGTTACCAGAACCAGTACACCTAGTACAGTGTTACCAGTACAAGTACACCTAGAACAGTGTTACCAGTACCAGTACACCTAGTACAGTTTTTGCCAATACCAGTACACCTAGTACAGTGCTGCCAGTACCATTTACACCTAGTACAGTGTTACCAGTACCAGTACACCTAGTACAGTGCTACCAGTACCAGTACATTATACAGGTTACCAGTACCAGTACACCTAGTACAGTGTTACCAGTACCAGTACACCTGGAACAGTGTTACCAGTACCAGTACACCTAGTACAGTGCTACCAGTACCAGTACACCTAGAACAGTGTTACCAGTACCAGTACACCTAGTACAGTGTTACCGGTACCATTACACCTAGTACAGTGTTACCAGTACCAGCACACCTAGTACAGTGTTACCAGTACACCTAGTACAGTGTTACCAGTACATCTAGAACAGTGTTACCAGTACATCTAGAACAGTGTTACCAGTACCAGTACACCTAGTACAGTGTTACCAGTACCAGCACACCTAGTACAGTGTTACCAGTACACCAAAGTACAGTGTTACCAGTACATCTAGAACAGTGTTACCAGTACCAGTACACCTAGTACAGTGTTACCAGTACCAGCACACCTAGTACAGTGTTACCAGTACACCTAGTACAGTGTTACCAGTACATCTAGAACAGTGTTACCAGTACCAGTACACCTAGTACAGTGTTACCAGTACCAGTACACCTAGTACAGTGTTACCAGTACCAGTACACTTAGTACAGTGTTACCATTTCCAGTACACCTAGAACAGTGGTACCAGTACCAGTACATCTAGTACAGTGTTGCCGGAACCAGTACACCTAGTACAGTGTTACCAGTACCAGTACACCTAGAACAGTGTTACAAGTACACCTAGTACCGTGTTACCAGTACCAGTACACTTAGTACAGTGTTACCAGTACCAGTACACCTGTACAGTGTTACCAGTCCGGGTACACCTAGAACAGTGGTACCAGTCCAGTAAATTAGTTACAGTGTTGCCGGAACCAGTACACCTAGTACAGTGTTACCAGTACCAGTACACTTAGTACAGTGTTACCAGTACCAGTACACCTAGTACAGTGTTGCCAGTACCAGTACACTTAGTACAGTGT